TTTCTTTGTCTATTCTCACAAAATTCTTCAAAGCTTTAACAAGCCTCTTTTGTAAATCCAATATAGGAAAATTATCCAGGTCACTCTCTTCATTTGTTATTTGTATGTCCCTTTTAATTATTAACACATCAGTCGGTTTATTTTGTATGTCCAGTGTAACATCTTTTTCCATATCACATTTTTAGCCTGTCATTTTTAAATCCACTTTCAAATCGGTTTCAGTCTTATCAGATAATACTTGTTCCTCTTCCATAACATCTTTTAAACACATCTACATAGGCAGACACTCTTAAAATTAACTTCTGGGTCCATTGTTAAAAAATATCCTTCAGTATGTCCAATGCTGAAATATGTTGCTTCATTCTGTATTTGTAAATTGAATTTAAGTGTTCTTTAATTGTAATCTTTAGTTCCTTCTAGCATCCAATTTTTAAAGTCTTATTTTTTTTAAGAATTCAAAACAAAAGCATTTTCCCATGGGAAGGATACTTTATAATTAACTCTAAAATTTTATTTCAAATTTATCTGGACCCTTAGTCCCTTTGTAACTTTCTAAAATCAAAGTTTTAATCATCCTTTTGTTGTTTATTCCAAAAAAAAAAATGTTTTTAAAGTCCTTAAACTTGTATTTAAAACTTCTTTCACTAAGGATTGAAGGAAAGTCACCTGGTGCTGTAAAACCTGTCAATCCAAAGGTTCCTAATAGCAGTTAAGCAATTTCCAAAAATGATTAGAAAAAAAAGTATGCAAACTTAGTGTCCTTTCAAAGTTGCTGACGCAGTTTGAGCAAGATGGCTCTTCCCTTGTCTCCCACAGCTCTAAACCGACTGGAGACCGCTGCCTTGCAGTCTCCTAATGAGAAGCAACTACTATATCTGGAGCACTTGTGGGTAATCTCAAGTCCTCTTCTTGTTTGGAGAGGAATTATGAAGGGCTGGTCTACTCGCTGGCTCTCCATTCCGCCACAGTTGTCTTTAGTTTGCCATTTCTTCCCCAGAAGTCTGAAAAAAACCTTCTCATTGCCACTCATCTCAGCTTTGAAAAAGATGTCACATGGAAAAGGATCTCAGCAGATTCTAAACGGCTGGGTAGATTGGTGTGGCTAGAGTAAGGCTATTCATCCAAATCTGAAATTTTTTCAGCTGTACTACATTGTGAATGTATCTTTTCCCAGTGCACCATATAACTTTCATATACACAAGTATCCTATTTTACACTTCTGCTTGGAAAACATACCTAATAAATTTTGATAGGTGTGAGTAGCTTTATTTTAGAGTAGCTAATCGTGAACACAGATAATATTTTTATGTTTCTCAAAACACAGTGAGTTGTGCAAACTTGTTTATTCATAGATGCCATTTTTGCAGCTCTGGAATCTCTTTTGGCAGATTGCAGCATATTGAGCCAAAAGAAATCTGTGATTGATTTATTTCATATCCTGAGGGAAAAGATGCTCCTTAAGGTCTGTGATCAAGAGAGCAAAAGGATTGAGCTTTACTGATACTTCTGTTCCCCTGGCAGCCATCCAGATGGCAATCCGTCTCCAGGCAGAAGGTAAAAAGTCTCTGCACAAGGACTTAAAGCAGAAGAGGAGGGAGCAGCGGGAACAGCGAGAACGAAAGAAGGCTGCCAAGGAGGAGGAAATGCAACGCCTGAAGGAGCTGCAGGAAGAAAAGGAGCGCAAGCTGCAGGAACTGGAGCTGCTCAAAGAGGCTCAGAAGCAAGCAGAGCTTTTGCTTCATGAAGAAGAGCAGCGGCGCCAGCAGCAACATGAGGAGATGCAGAAGATGTTGGAAATTCAGCTTCAGGAAGCAGAACAGGTGGGCATACTGAAAGCGGATCCTGAGAGATCCATAGCTTGCTAAAGATATTACATCAATCAATGCAACAGAAATTATTTGAATCTCATGCCATTTTTGAGTGGCTTGCTCAGTGCCTTAGCCTCTTCTTGTGTAAAACAAGTTCTTGGGGACATTTAGAGTAAACTTTCTGGTTGAGTTAGAATGCATCTCTTTGAAATGCAAAAAGTAACCAAAGTCTGCCTTACTTATTGTTCAACTTATTGAAGTTGAACATTATAATTTCATTATCAAATAACTTTAAGCATGGCTTTCTTATGATATCCCCAGACAGCTTAAGACAGAAAAATAGATCAAGAGGAAACAGAGAGGGGAAGTAAAGGACACATACTTTATATGAACACCCAGAATGTGGTGAAGGAGGATACCTATCTTCAGTCAGTTTCTTATGTAGGCCTAAGGAAGCAGACTAAATATTTATGGTTTATACTATACAGGTTGTAATTTTCCTTTTATATTCATGCATCCTAATGACAAGGTAAACTGGTAAGCTGCTTGCCTTTGTGGATAAGTTCACTATAAATATGGACCTGCCATGAGCTTTCTACTTCCTCTTGTCTGTGGCATACTGTTGATACTTCTAATGCAGAGAAAGCTCTAAAAGGAGCTGTGATACATCCAATATTACTCTCTCTCTGTGTGAAACGAACAGTAGCAGAAAAGAATGTTAAAATGTATGGAGGATTCTAAACCATCATGCCATCCAATTTAGGATAACAGTGACTTCTATCAGTCGAGAAGATTAATGCAAAGGTCTCTGTATATTAAGAGATAGGAGACTTTCAGGCTATAAAGGTAAACGCCAGCATAGCCTAGTGGTCAAAATGTGGGATAGAAGGTCACTCGCTCTCATTCAACCTACCTCACAGGGAAGGGGAAAAAATGGAGGAAAGAATGCAATATAAGCTCTGCTGAGCTCCTAGAGGAAAGGTGTGGATAGAGATAATTCTGCCACAAGAAGTCCAGATTCAGTTACTGCAAAGTGCAATGTATGAGTTCCCCTTGTGGCTGTAAAGAGGCTGCACCTATTACCGAATTCCGTTGCTATGTAGTTACTCAGTGGTGTCTCTTACTGGGCACAAAAAACACCTGTGCTGAAGATTATGCATTAGCACCTGATTAGCTACTGAGCCATTTTCAAGGATTTATTACTGTTCATTTAGGCCTAAACAGATCATGAAAAGATTATGTTAAGAAACCACCAACTTCCATGTAGGTTTCTTAGGCCTTTTCATTGTGAGAACAAGTCCTGCCAATTGTTCTCCTGAATGCTAATATTCAGTCAGATCTAGCATGTAGGTTGCCGTTCTCTTTAGTGGTTCCCACCTTCTTGAATAAATTTCCAGCAGAGCTTAGGTTGGGCCCCACTGTGGAAACCTACTTACCTACTTACCCATTGTTGTTTTTAAAGGTTGGTTTTAACACTTCTACTGGTTTTGTATGGGTTTATTGTCTTATAATTGTTCTAAAACAGTTCCTGGAGAAGGTCTAACTATGTAGTCACTAAGAGTCAACATGGACTTGATGGCACATAATAATTTTTAAAAAATCAAAATGTTGCATATAAATAATAAATAACATTCCAAGAAGTTTTGCCTCAAATGATATCTTTGGAGTCATGTACTGTTTAATTTTTTGCACATATCCTGATTAGTCACTCATATCTGCCTTCCCTGGACATGACAGACTCATCATCTCCACCCACCAAGACCATTGTAATGTAATAGCCTGAAATGTGGCAGGTTAATGGGTGTGTGTGGGCTATATATGAAAAGTAATAAAATTGTTGGCATGTAGATAAAACCAGAGACTTTGCCATTTACCAACTTTACCAGCTACTGCTGAGGACTAGGCTGCTTTTAAGTAACTGCCCCCTGCTGTTAGCAGGGACACATTCTAGCTGCTCACTGCATTTACTTTACCCACCTGCAGGCTCGTGCTTCCATGCAAGCAGAGATGGTTCTGAAGGAGGCAGAGGCAGAACGTCAGCGCAAGCGCATCGCAGAGCTGGAAGACATGCAGCAACGACTCCAAGATGCCCTGCAGCAGGAGATTAAAGCTCGTCAAGACGAAGAGGCTCTGAGATATGAACAGGCCAGGTAGGATTGTTGAATGCCTAGATTTGCTTTATTGAATAGTTCTAGAAGCACCGATATATTGCAACTTCTGGGAGGAACAGGGTTAATTATGGCAATATGGAGGCTTAAGGTTGAGGATGGTATTGGATGGTTAGGGCAATAAGAAAGACAAATGAGTTTGCTTACATAATTCTGAATATTTATGTATTGGATCTATTTTTACGACATTCCTACTTTGAAATATCTCAAAGGCAGTATATGCTAAGCACAATTAAAGTGGAGGAAAAACATTAAAATATAAGCAAATAAAATTATAATAAATAAAAACTTTACGTATAAAATATATGTAACAAAAAAGTGGGAAAAGAATAAACTACTTTCACAGGAAAGGCCTGAGTAAAGAGGTGGGTCTTCAGGAGTGCTAAAATACTTCATAGTACAGTAGGCATCTCCCAAATGCCAGGGGGTAAACATGGGTACCACCGCAGAGAAGCTGCTGATTTGAAGTAACCACAGTATGACAACCTACAAGTGACAATAGAAGCAGCAGGTTAGAAATGAAGGGAGCAAGATGATACAGTGAAAGACCAGAGAAGAGAAGAAGCTGTAGTTAAGATGAGAATTCCCAACAAATTCCTTCTCCATCACTCTATGATGCCATAAGTGACAGTTCCCAGAGAGGAGGCAATCCACTCCTTTTGCAGAGCAGAGTTACTCATTTCCTTCACAGTGTTATGGATTGCTTGTGAATGATGGGACTAACTCAAGCTTTAGACAATAAATCACTCATAGAGCAAGGAGGAGTTCAATCCTGTATAATTTTGTTAGATTGCTGGCAGAGGAGGAGGAAAAACTGAAGCAGCTGATGAAATTGAAGGAAGAACAAGAAGATTATATCATCAAGGCCCAGCATGAAAAGCTGGCTCTCAAGCAAGAGATGGAAAGCAAGAGCAAGTTTCTGGAAGAAACCAAACTGCAGTTGGAAGAGGTCAGATTTAATAGGGAGAGGATGGACCAAGATGTCATGGTAAGTAATGGAGCTGTGTCTGTCTGTCTGTCTCTCTCTCTCTCTTTATATATATAATTATAATATATAAATATTTGTATTTATTTATATTTATTTATTGATATTTACTCATATCA